TTGTTCAAGAATCCAAACAGGAAACAGGAATTGAAACATACACATATTGAAAATACTGTGGATTTTTTTTTTAAAATGCAATCTATAAAAAATCAATTGTGATTAAGATTTAGGCCTGTATGATGTGATACGGATTTGTCTCTCTGAAGCAAATTTGGCAATATTTCCTGCCAACATTATGAACCATATCTAGTTTACAGATGTGCTAAAGGTGGAGCATAGTGGTTGGGAGGAAGCAAATGGCATCTTCAATGTAGCAGTGGCCAAATGTTTAGGGAATAGTCCATAGGTAGTTCAGGCTGGACAACTTCAGCTAGTGCTGTGATACTATCATAGCAATATCAAAGCTGATCAGTTTGAATGTACAGGTAGAAGTCTCCTTTCAGACTTCTGTCACAGTACAAACTCTGTGGGGAAAACTCTGAAAGGGGTTCTGAAGCAATGTAAGGCGAAACAACATGATTGTTTTGCTCTATAAGGCTTCAAAAGGGACCTTCATTTGAAACTTCACCAAAGCAGGACACTTCTCTGCACAGTCCTGGAAGCAGAATTGGTGTTCAATACATCAAAAGGTTTCAGTTTCTATAGCTGCTAATAGAATAATTTGTTTATATAGTCTTTCCTCTCCTTTCTGATCCAAGCCATTTCAATTTGCCCATTCTAAGTCCAGACCCTTTGTGCATAAATTAAATAGCAAATATCAAAGGAGTTTCCGAGATCAGGTGTTCAGACACATCTTAAACTTAAAGTCTGATAAAAATGATTCTTGAGTAACTTTACATCTCACTGATCCCTTATATGCCTTTCCAGTCTTATAATTATTTGCAGAAAAAAAGGATAAACTATGTTGTCTCATCTTTATAGGAACCCGAGGTTTCAGAAATGGCCATTGACTTTTTTATAGGTGGATCCTTGCCTGTCTCATTGAAGCTTCTTTTAGTTACATACCCTACTTGTGGAAACAGGTGTTCTAGTGTGAAATTGCAAGATCCTGCTATTTTTTTCATTGAATAATATCACACTCTGCTACTGTTCTAATATACTCAAGAATGTTTAAACCATATGTTATTTCTATGAGAATATTGTAAAGTTACAGGGCAACCTATACTCATATCTCATGACTGTATACATCGGGGTATCAAACTCGTAGTGTCACATTGTCATCATGTGATGTATCACAACGTTTTCCCCCTTTGCTAAAATGGGGGTGGGGATGGCCAGCGTGTGATGCATCCGGCCCACAGGCCTGGAGTTTAACACCTGTGGTATACATTGTTAAGATACTTAAGCATTTTACTTTGTATTATTCTCTTTGGTATATTTCTAATCAAGGACAGAACCAACCTAGAACCAAGGATACATTTCCTGATAGAACAATTAATCAGTGGAATGATTTGTCTCCAGAAATTGATCGTGCTCCAATGCTGGAGGTTTTTAAGAAGAGATTGGACAACCATTTGTCTGAAATGGTGTAGGGTTTTCTACTTGAGCAGAGGGTTGGACTAGAAGTAATCCAAGATTCCTTCTAACTCTGTTATTTTGTTATTCAATCTGAGCTGTGCTAATTAATCTGTACTTTATAGAGGCACTATCTCCTCAAATATCTTGCACAGTCACATTTCATCCCAATATATAATCACTATATAAAAAGTAGAAAATGCAATTTTCATTTTGTCTGGTTGAAGTAGCCACTGTGCTTACTTTAGCTAATGTGACACAATAAAGTAAGAAGCCTGCTTTATCCATTTTTTCAATCATCCTCCAGAGATTTTGACACAGGCCTTTGATTAGAAACCAGATGCTGTCCATCATTTTCTGCCAGAACCATTATCAGTGTTGAAATGTTTTTATGTCTTTCTTTAATTATTTGCTCAATCCTGGCTTTAAGGTATAATTTGACATGCCAGATTGTTCTAATCAAAAGCATCACCACTTACTGCCAAAATGAAAGGAGAAAGAGGGTAAAAGATGATAAGTGTAGAGAAAAGACACTCATTTGGAACTCCTAATACTTATGTAGATAGATTGTAGACATAATAATAAGCTGTCGAAGTGAAGGAGACACAAACATTGCTTTAATGGAAACAGAAAAGTAAGTGATTAACATGGCATGCTACCCACAGAGAAGAGAGAAGATAGAGGTACATATAACTACAATGACATAGAAGACATTCTATAATTTATCCTGTTCTTCCAAGGAAGGAGAGAAAAGAATACATATCAATATAACAGTTTTCTTTGTGTCAATTAAGATGGAGTATTGTTTCACTTCCTTTGAAAACCATTTAATTTTGTAGAGGTTCAAGCTTCCTTTTGCTTATGAAACAACACAATATACAGACTGAGAATGACTGTAAATACATAGATGTACCAGCCCAGTTTTGGAATATAATGTAAAATGTCCCTAAACCATGGGCCATGTCCAAGGGACATGTTTTCACTTTAAATTAAAGTGAAAAAGATATACATCTTTTTCACTTTAACAAGGGTTAATATAATACTCATGGACAGTAAAATTAAATTAAAAATGGGAGAAGGATAGTATATTAGGCAGTAGCCTGATTAAATGTTTTACATTTGGAGATACATTTGGGGAGGGGGGAGATATAATTGGTCAATGTGGAACTATCTTCAAGACTGCCTTCTACCGCATAGCTCCCAGTGACCAGTAAGATTCCACAGAGTTGGTCTCCTCCGGGTCCCATCAGCTAAACAATGCCGGCTGGCAGGCCCGCGGGGCAGGCTGCCCCAGCTCTCTGGAACCAGTTACCTCCTGAGATCTGGACCATCCCCACCCTATTGGCCTTCCGAAAAGTGGTGAAGACTTTTTCAGCAGGCCTGGAGCCGTTGATCTCGCTGTTGTTATCTGGTGAGATCTGGCCATGAATGGTGTGAATGGGTTTTAACTGTTTATAATGTTTTAATTTTTAATGTTTTTATATATGGTTTTTAAATGCATTGTAAGCCGCCTTGAGTCTTCGGAGAAAGGCGGCATACAAGTTGAACAAATAAATAAAATAAATAAATAAACTTTCTGAGAAAGAGTGTTTTTATTATCTCAGCTACATAGGAATAGCAGAATGCTCTCCTTATTCCAATACTATAGGTTTTCTCCCCTTAAAACAACATTTGAGGTTATAATAAATTATATTAAATTATATAATTATAAATATATTATAAACATATAATTGTAAATTAATTTCACATGACACAATGATGGTATTTTAAGTTTAAGCTGAAAGAGTACTTGATTATACACCGCACTCTCCTTTTCTCCCTCCCTCTCTCTCTCATTTTTATTGTTAGCCTCAATCAATCCACTGAAGAATGAAGGAAAATATGTATATCAAACTAATTTGATAGCTTTCCCTTCTATTTCAAGTCCCCTCCATTTAAATCCCAATATATAGAATTCTGCTTAGAAATTAAATAATATTTACCTTTGCAAGAACTCTAGTTTTCTTCAGGCACTAAGCTGATAAAAGTATTTAGTTAGCACATGGTGGCACTTTATTGTGCTTGCCTGATCTCAAAAACATGTAAAAGCTGAACAGAACAATAGAAAGTTCCTGGATGGGCTGGGAAATTGAAAAGGTATTTATGTGCAGATAACAATGACAAATCAGTCCTGTATCTTTATCATTGAGATTCATCTGGAATGCTTTTAAATCACAGGAATATTTTTAATAGTAAGATAGCAATAGTGGGATTTAAAAGTAAGATCTATATATTTACTTCCATATAAGTAGGGCCAGGGATGTCAAACTGATGGCCCATGGGCTGGATGAATCACATGCCAGCTATGCCCACCCCAACTCTGTGAATGGGAAAAATGTCACAAAACATCATGTGATGACAACATGATGCCGCAAGTTTGACAGCCGTGAAGTAGGCAGCTGTGAAGAGGATAAAATTTATTTTATTACAATGAGAATGACACCAAAGAATGTAACTTTCATTGAAGAGAGAAAACATAATAACCAGCACGCAATAGACCCCTATAAACTTTGATGCTCAAGAAAAATATGTTTTATAAAAGTTTATATAGCTTGTTCAGTCATACCATTTGGAAACAACTTATTCATAAGTGCTTCTGTTGCAATATTTTCAGGATCAGACTCAATAATATTAGTAAGAGTTAAAGGTTTAAATATATTTCCTTTTATTTACAATAGGCATTCTATATTCACTGAATATTCACAGATAGAAGCAAGGAAAAGGGTGTAGGTGGCTCCTTATATATACAATGGGTGGAGCTATAAGTGGGAGTGGTGAATTATGAATACATTAAGAAGTGAAGAATAAGTTAACCCCTGATACCCCGTTCATATATTATTTACACATTAGAGAATAAGGCATTTACATCTGACAGCTTCTAACACTACATTAAGATTACACTACATACTGAGTTTGTGGGTCTGTGTAGGTTGATTCTTTGAAGTCCAATTTTTCATGATTAAATATGTTATCAACTACGTTACAGAAAAAAAGTGGAAAGTAGTCACAGGCAGTTGGTTACTTATTTTCTAATGAAAGACAACTGAAATTGAATGTCTATACCCTCTCCTCATCTAGAATGGTCACTAAGTGTGTATGTGACACACACACACACACACACACACACACAGAGAGAGAGAGAGAGAGAGAGAGAGAGAGAGAGAGAGAGAGAATGCTGTGTAGATCACTTGAGCTACTTTAAAAATCTTGAGCTTAATTAGTTGATTAATCTCTTCCAGCTCCCTGAAATGGCTGACTGAAAGTGACCAGACTTTACTCAGTTTCTGAAGGCTTTTGTTGTTAAGTACAAAACATTTGGTCATAAATGTGTAAACTGGTTAGAAAATCATTTTTTTAAAATTATCATTTGGTAACTGAGGTAATCCGTAAAGGAGAAGTGGCAGAATGGATAACTTAAAAAACATCATCATTCTTGACAGGATTATTTCTGTGGTATTAAATTGAAAGAAGATCTCCAAGTAAGTCACCTTGAACACCTGGAATGAGAAAGGGTATACAATGTTTATTATTTCGGAGATAATATTTCAAACATTTCACATACCTTGAATGTAGGCCTTTGATTGACAGATGCAAAGATAGCCAGTGTTTCTACAACTTTAACAGATGTGTCAGAGAAAATTTCAGTGGGGTCAATTTGTCTTTCATGGATGAAAAGCACTGTATCTGCCAAAATACATAAAACAGAACATGTTTTTGGTAATAATTAAAAAAATAAAGGTAGAACTTTATTGTTCCATATATATGATTAATATCTTGTGCTAATTGAATTTAAGGGGAACAAGAATCCTTTTATATCTGGTCATTTTAGAAATATACATTTTCTATACATTTCTAATCTGTGATTGCTCAAGACATAAAGTGCTCATTTCCATATGTGTAATTGGACATCACAACTACCAGTTTGTTTGTTTTTTGCTGGTATAACTCATCCAATTGCCCTTTCTTTTTATGTATTTTAATTCTTTGACTGATAAACATGTAACATTAATTATATTGAAAGTTTTATTTGCAGAATCACCTCATCTGACAAACTTCTTGCTATCAAATGAAGAAAGTATTTTGGGGGTAAAGATTCTAGGAAGGTAGGAATGGGCAATTTTTAGATAGAATGCTAAGAAAAGGTTAATAACATCTTGTTTTAACAACGCACTAAAAATTAAAAATGTCAGTATTGAAATCTGAAGAATAGTGTATATGCTTGCTTGCTCTTTATTATTTCTATCCTCTAACACATTCATGCAATGTATTAAAATGTTCTGTGTCAGTCTTAGGTAATTAGGACCTGATTAATCAAATTTGCGGCACCTCATTTTGATGATAATGTTCTGCTGAAATGGATCTTACCTTTGACTAATGGATGATAGAGTTGATAACTGGGGACATTTTAATCACAGAGCTCCAGTGATAGATGGCTAGCCTAGCTAATTGAATTATTTGACAGTACATTGTGGGGTTTTTTTTTGGGACTTGAACATTTTAACACCATAGGTAGGAGGCATATTTGATAAATAATATGGAAATAATGCTGAAATAGATTATTTGTTTGGACTGCAATGGAAGTTATGTTGTTCCTTCCCACCCATACCCAACTTTGCTTACAATAATCCTATATGGTATCAATGGGGGGGGGGGAAGCTACAATTTTCAAAACTATACTTAAGCAATTGCTTAAGGACTTTTGATGAACAGCAATTCTTCGTTTAAAAGTAGTTTTTATTGAATATAAATATTAAAAAAGACATACGTAACATATACACAACAAACATTTATACAACATATACACAAAAAGAGTGTAATTTCTTCTTAAGCATTTTTTCAGAGTGACATTCTACAATTCTACTTATCCTTCACCTCTCCTTAATCTAATAACATTTTTATTATATATATATAATATTATATATATTATATTATATATATATATTTAAATCGGTAATATTTCCCCTATATTTTTTGTATATTTCTGATTTTTAACCAATTATACCAATTATTCCATATTTTATAATAGTCTGATTCTTCTCTTTCTTGTAATTCTTTGGTTAACCTATCCATTTCAGCGCGTTCTAAAATTTTCCCTATTACTGCTGTTTCACTTAGTATTTTTTCTTGCTTCCAATTTTTTGCGTAGGTTATTCTTGCAGCAGTTAATATGTGAATTGTGAGATATTTGATATCCTTAGGGTATGATTTGTTAAAGATTCCTAATAGAAATGTTTCTGGTTCTTTTTCAATCTGTGTTTTTGTTATTTGTTCCAACCAATTTTTGATGTTAGACCAAAATTTTTTTGCTGCCGGGCACGTCCACCATAAATGATAGAAAGTCCCTTGTGCCTTTTTGCACTTCCAACAAATCGGGCTATTTTTAGGTTGTATTTTTGCCAATCTGGTTGGAGACATATGCCACCAATAAAACATTTTCAGTTGGTTTTCCTTGTACACTGTTGCTTTCGTTAAATTTAGGTTTACCTGCCAGAACTTTTCCCATTTTTCCAAAGGTATTGTGTGTTTGATGTTTTGAGCCCACTTAATCATCGTTTCTTTGACTGTCTCTTCTTCCAATTTATAGCGTAGAAGAAATTTATAAATTCTACTAATTAATTTATTTTCTGAATCTAATATAATTTTATCTATTTCTTGTTTTTGATTATAAATTTCATATGTTTTTATATGTTCTCTGTATTTGGATTGTATTTGAGTATAAGTCCACCAGTCTATTTCTCTGTGTAAATCTGTCTCCAATTGTTTTTTTGTCTTTAATTTGCCTTGATAGTCAATTATATCTTTATATCTAATTATTTTTGTCTTATCTGTTAAATTTGGGTGCCTAATTGATTCTGCCGGTGCTAGCCAATTTGGTATCTTCATATAATATTGTTTTTTAATTTTAAGCCAAATTTGTAATAATGAGTTTCTTATTGTGTGTCTTTTAAAATATGAATGTGTTTTGTATTTCTCATCCCACATAAAGGAGTGCCAGCCAGTTTGGAGTTTGTGTCCCTCAATTGTTAAAATTCCAGAATCCTTTAATTCTATCCAATCTTTGACCCACGATAGTACTGCTGCTTGGTAATATACCTCCCAGTCAGAGAGTGCAGCTCCTCCTCTATCTTTTGTATCCTGAAGCAGCTTAAATTTTATTTGTGGCCTTTTCCCTTGCCATATAAATTTAGATGTTATTTTATTCAGCTTCTCAAAAAACGGTTTATCTATTTTAATTGGGGTGACCTGAAACAAATAAAAAATTTAGGTAATATAGTCATTTTGATGGCCGAAATTCTTCCTAGGAATGAAATGTGTAAATTTTCCCATTTTTCTAAGTCTTTCTTTGTTTGTTCTAGTAATTTATCATAATTGTTTTCTTTAATTGCTGATGTTCTTGTAGATAACCAGATTCCTAGATATTTTATTTTTGTTGTTGTTTGGATTTGTATATTATCTGTCAATCTTTTGTTTGGATTTCCGTAAGGTTTTTTACAATTAGCTTCGATTTACTTTTATTGATTTTTAGTCTGGCCACTTCTCTAAATTCTTCTATTTTTTGGAACAAATTAGGTATAGATTCCATAGGATTTTCTGTCAAAAATACTAGGTCATCAGCAAAGGCTTGAGCTTTGTATTCTTCTCTATTGATCCTTAAACCTTCAATTCCTTGGTCTTCTCTAATTTTTTTCAACAGGATTTCCAATGATAGAATATATAGTAAGGGGGAAAGTGGACAGCCTTGTCTGGCTCCTTTTGTTATATTAAATTTGTCTGTTATGTCATCATTCATAATTATCCTTGCTAATTGCTTGGTATAGATTTCTGCTATAATTTTCCCAAATTTTTCCCCAATTTGCATATTTTGTAGTTGATGAACAGCAATTCTTAATAGTAACAGAAATCTTCTGATCTTTCTGATCTTTGTCATCTCTGATCTTTTGACTGTCTCCCTTTTCTATTCACACAGAATTATCTGCAAAGTTGCCTCCAATTCACAGAAAGATCTCAGATTCAGCAGAGACTTCCTTCAATGTATTGGGAAGGAAGACATGTTCTGCAATTTACTCCATTTCTTATGACTGTCACAAAATCTGCTCCATAATGTTAGAGTCTATGGGACACTAGACGAGACTTCCTTCCTTCCTCCTTCCTTCTTCTTCCTTCCTTCCTTCCTTCCTTCCTTCCTTCCTTCCTCCCTCCCTCCCTCCCTCCCTCCCTCCCTCTCACAGGAGCATATACTGATTAAAATAGAGCCACCAGCATTTAGTTTACATCCAACATGGCAATAATTTTTGCAGTGGTTCTCAGACCCACAACAAAGATCTGCTTTTAAATATAATAATGATCAAAAAAAGTATCATTACCATCATCATCAATTCTTCATAAACATTACAATATTATATCCCTACTTTTTTACTCACATTATAAATTCCCCTTCTCTACAGCACAGGAAGTTGGAAGATGCCATGCTGGAAGTGTAGGACTTTAGGAGATTCCCTCAGTAATTTTTAAAGACTCTAAAATCATAGAAACATGGGACAGCTTTAAAACTATTTTGTGTTGATTGCATCATTTTGCTTTCAAAAGCGAGGTAAGGAAATGGTGGGAAAATTAGGGGGGGGAGGGACAGGATAGATAAATGTTTCTAGTTCTTCATTTGCATATTATCATCTGAAGAATTGGCAGTACTTTTAGTATCCTGGAGTGTCCCATTAACTTGGATTGCATTATAAATTATGGGGAAGGGGGTTTCTTTGCTCTAATTTTGTTTTGCTGACAATCTAAAATGCCATCAATAGATTTATTGATCATTCCTTTTTTAAAAAATTAACAAATGGACATTTATAGTACATGGAACAGAAAAGGTTACATAGAAACAAATACTGTCTGAGTTGTTTTATTTGTGTATGTGTGCTTGGCTCAAATCCATAATTTCTTTTCTTTTTAAAAATGCTAAACTAGCAGAAATTAACCATAGATAGGTATCTTTTTTAAAAAAATATTTACAGATCAAAATTTGAAACTGCCCATCTCCCACATAGAGGTAGATAGATAATAATAACAAAAATAATAATTGTGATCATAATTTAAAATGTGACAGAAGGTTATGTCATAAATAGCACAGTTAAGCAGGTTAAGCAGATTAACTTAAGTTAAGTTAAGTTGAATAAAAACTTCAATGCCTAATTAGAGTAAATCAATGCTTTATACAGTATTAATTCAATAAAAGCATGAAAAAAACAATATAATCGGAAATATTATTAACTGACAGCTAAAACTGATGAATTATTAAACAATGTAATTTCATTTTTTTAAAAGGGACGGGACAGTAACATTTTGTACACTCTAAACTTCTCTAGTTGCATTAAACGAAAGACAGATCCATTAAATATATTCTTAATAGAAGTGCTATTTTAATGTACAAGGTTTCTATACCCAGAGAAGGAATAAATTGTATGTTCTTTCTAGTCAGCTGAAACTAAGGAAAAAGTTATCATGGATGCTGGAATATCCAGGGGAAATGTTCAGTCTTGGAGTTAAGCAGGTTGTACTAGTTCTTTTCTTCAAAATAGTTTATTGAGATATTTCTAAACTATTGTTTTGAACAAGAGGACTCAAACAGCAGCACAAAGGTTTCAATATTGTATAAATAATTATCAACTGTGCAAATTCATGCACTTTCTCAAATAAAGAAAGGCAGTTAAGACCCATACCTCTGTTCTAAGTTAGTTTTTTAAAAAAAGGAAAAGAGGGGAGTATTGTCAACACTTTGAGAATTCAATATCTTGATGACAAGGCAGCAAAATCTTCTGAATGTTTGCAAATGAGCAGACAGACTTGGAAAAATGGAGAAATCTACAGTTGTTGTTGGTCGGAAGGATAGCCACAACAAAAATGGATATTTTACCAAAACTGCTATTTTTATTTCAAGCAATTCTGATAAAACTAGAAAAAAAGTTTTTTGAGGACCTAAACAAATTGATTTTAAAGTTTGTCTGGCAAGGCAAAAAACCAAGAATCAAATTGAAAAAGTTATAAGATACCAAAAATAGAGGAGGGGGATTGGACTACCAGATTGGGAGCTGTATTACCAGGCTTCGGTGCTCACATGGATGAAAGAGTGGATAAACTTGAAAAACAGAAGAAAGTTGACTTTAGAAGGACACAATTGGGGTGGCACGCATTTACGTGGTATGGGAGGCATTATATCAGGAATGCTCTGCTCTTAGTATGGAGAAAAAATCAAACAGAAACATTACATGAAAATACCAGTCTGGCTATCCACGATGGAAGCGCTAATACATCCAAATGCTCTTGAACTGGAAAAAACTCCTAAGGTATAAAGATATCCTAAACGAACAAGGGAACTTAAAATCAAAACAGGAACTAAAAAAATCAAAGAATCGATTTGGACTGGTGGCCATATATCCAAATACAAATGAGATACAAGAAAGATGCTGAAATATATAGATTCTATAAAGAAGCCCTAGAACTAGATCAGATATTTCTAGGGACAGATGATAAGATAATAAAGAAAATATATAGCTACTTATTGAATTTTAAAATGGAAGAAGAACATGTAAAAGAAACCATGATAGTATGGGCCAAAATTTTGGATATACTATAGAATTAGACAATTGGCAAAAACTTTGGGAAAGAAACTACAAACTAACGATGTCAACAACATATAAAGAAAACCTTTACAAAATGTTCTACAGGTGGCATTTGCCACCAGCAAGAATGGCAAAGATGTTCCAAAAGACATCGCCAGCGAGCTGGAAATGTAAACAGATACTAGGTTCCTATTACCATATGTGGTAGACCTGTCCAAAGGTGAAAAAATATTGGTTAAAGATAAAAAGGTGGTTAGAAGAAATGACAATACAACAAAAAGATTTAAAACCAGAATTGTTCTTGCTAGGTATATTACTGGGAAAATATAATAAAAGAACTCCATATTTAATATTACATGTGATAATGGCAGTGAGATTATGTACGCAAAAAATTGGAAAAAACAGAAATATACCTATAGATGAAAATGTAATAAAGAAAATATAAGACTGCTGAAATGGACAGGTTAACAATGAAAATTAAGGATAAAAAGGAAGTAGAGTACTATTTAACTTGGGACTTATTTTATAAATGGTTATATATGACACCTGGTCTACCTCAGCATGTGGAAGGGAGCATACTGCATCCCTTTCACCTTTCAGCTCCAATCCAGGAGCCCTCAAGCAGTCGCATTCATGACAAACCATTTTATACCAAATTTATATTTTGCTGATAAAGAAATAAAGGGAGACTAGTATAGATCTATTTCAAGCCATTTAGCTGATGAGAGCTAAATAGTTTGAAATAGATCTATACTAGTCTCCCTTTATTTCTTTATCAGCAATAAAGAATATCATATATATATATATATATATATATATATATATATATATATATTATATATATATATATATAATATATATATAATATATATTATATGCAATAATTATTACTGGATTATACTTGATTATAGATTAAATTGTATCGGGTGATCAGAAGGGAAGATTACATTGTATGTATTATTTTCATATTATGAGGAAAATGGTTATAATTATGGTGTGTATAAAACTATGTATTTAAAAGAGATGTGATATAGTGCACTGCCATTGCAGAAATGAAAACGTTATGTATAACAAAAGAAAATGCATAATAAAAACAATTTTAAAAAGGAAATAAAACAAAACAGTGTAATGTTCCCTGATGACTACATTCAGCACAATGGAACAGATTTCACACAAATTTATTCTTCACAATTGGACCAATCAGACTCGCAAAAAAAAAAAAAAAAGACAATCCTATCCAATTCAATTCCAAGGTAGTTTGGAAAGATTTCATCTTATACACTATCAAATGCCACAAATTATCAAGGTCGCATTCCATATTTTGATTTTCAAAAAAGGTTAAGTATAGAAACCAAGCAAAGCTTCTCTGATTTAGTGCCAAACTTGATTTATACAAATCTTAAGAGTTGGTTTTCTGCCAAAATAAAAAATAAAACCAAATCCTTGCTGCTGACCACCAACATTTGCTTGAGAATGTGTCAAAGTACAAAATACTGGAGAGTTTGTAATAAGATATATCATAAAGGTTGACAAAGCCTTTATATATATAAAAAACGAGCCACTGCTATGTTTTAAATACAAGCTCTATTTATAATGAAATAAAGGTTTAAATTCTTGCGCCTTTTTCTCACACCTGCATGATATAAACTACCGTATTTTTTAGAGTACAAGACACACTTTTCCCCCCCTAAAAGAGGGTGGAAATGTTGGTGTGGCTCATACACCGAATACAGCCATTTTTGGCCTCTTGAAGCCCTACCCTGCTCATCCCATTTTTGTGAAAAATGGGCCCATTTTTCACAAAAATGAGGTGCACAGAGGGTTTGGGAGGCCTGCAGAGTGCTCCTGGAGGCTGAGGAGGGCAAAAAGACACCCATTTTTCACAAAAGCGGGGCCTTTTTTGCAAAAACAGGGGTGCTTTTGCCCTCCCCCAGCCCCAGGAGCACTCTGCAGGCCTCCCAAACCCTCCGTGCACCCCGTTTTTTGCAAAATCAGCCAAAAAACAGGCTATTTTTGAAAAAAAAAACGGGGCGTGCAGAAGGTATGGGAGATCTGTAAAGAGCTCCTGGGGATCAGGGAGGGCAAAAACTTTTTTTCTTACTTACCTCTTCGAAATCCTGGTGCATCTTATACACCAGTGTGTCTTATAGTCTGAAAAATATGGTACTTTTTTTAGGTGGGAAACTGTCTTCTATAAGATCCTACCACATGTATTGTCCAGTTTGGGGAAGAACCCTTTAAGAAAGATTGAGAAAACTGGAATAAGTGCAGTTATTCCAAGTTCAAGGAACAATGAGAATTATTAGGGAATTTAAAACAAAGTGTTATAAGGAGACACTGTGTATGCTCAATCTCGAAATGGGAAATCTGGATTGGTAAGGTGTGGTGAAAAATATAGTAGCACTTTTGAAATAGGATATATTTTTAAGTAGTTATTCAAGTAGGATATTGAAATGATAGCCCACAGAAGAAGGTACAGCTTCTTAAAGTTTGGCTCAGAGAATAATGGATTTAAGTTATAAAACAGATTCTGACAGAATGTTAGAGAATAAAAAATTCTAATACTAAGAGCAGTTGAACAGTTCAACCAATTACCCAGAGAAACAGTAGACTCTCTTTTACTGAATATTTTGAAGTATAAGTTAGTCATCTATCAGTTAAGGATATTTAATTTGGATTCCTGAGCTAAAAAGAAAAAGAAGTTGGGGTCAATGACCTAAGCATTCCCTTAGGGTTCTATGATATGATTTTGCTGCCACATTTTTATATTTTGATGATGATACTCTGGAGTAACTCTAACATGCTCTGGAGAGACATTCTTTTAAAAGTATCTGTTCCTTCAAGTGAAATAGTTAGCTTGGAACTTTAATAACTTTAAATACTAAATAACTAATAGTCATCTGTTCAAGGAATCACTAATAAAATAATATTTTTCATTAATATTTCAGCTTTTAAGCATGGAAACATTGACATTTATTTGGGCACAAAATTATTTATTTTCCTGAATTTTTAAGCACTTTTTCTATGCTTAACAGATATTAACTGGATTTTACCGATAGATGCTAAGTAGATTGTGGTCAATTTTCTATTATTTGTTAGTGGCTTTTCTATCAGTTTTTTACATACATTAAATGAAAGGTCTTGTCTTGTCTCATTGTACTTCCTACTCATTATATGGAAGACAGAGCAGAGAAAAATCTTCTATCTGAAACCATTTCCGGTTTGTGACATAATGAGAAATCTCTAGGAAAGATTAACTTTCTAGAAGAGTTACTAAAACCTTATACTTTTTAATTTTTCAACCATAGTTACAGTAATAAGGAGAAAAATAAAGTGTTAGTAATTACTCTTCTTCTGTAGTATCAGGAAAGACAAATGGTAAGTTTGTGTTTGTTTCTTTTGCCGTCTGATATGTGAATTAAAAGATCAAATCCACTGTATGTTGGATTCAGTTATAGGAAATAATGTTCAAATCCATCCTTAGCAAGGGGTTAGGGTGAATCATTTCCTCCAAATTATTTATAAGAAATACAATGAATATATTGGATCAGTTTTTAGTAATAGACTTGTCAATTGTAGTTTTAAAAAAGAGTAATTGAGAAAGCAGTTAATGTAGGCTGCGGTGAATACCTGCGCATATATGTCAGGCATTCAGGAAAGGCAGACATAAAATGCATAGTATTCAAGTAACCAGAATTTTAAAAGTCAGCTTCCATAGTGCAGGACAATAGAAAGTAACCCTGTGAGCTTGATTCAGTATGAAAACTTTACATCAGATGATAGAAGTAGATTCTCATTTTAATGTCACTGAATTGCCTAAACCAAGAATTTTCTAGACTAATTTCCCACTGGCAACAGGAACTATGGTCTTATGCTCAAGTTCTATAGTTCAGTTCTGCAGCACTTGATACTGCAAGTGCCACAGTCCATGGCAAAGTAAATCTTTAATTTGGTGCAGTCTTTCTCAGTCTCAAGCAACTTTAACAGGAGTTGACTTCAATTCCCAAAACATACCATGGTGGCTGGGGAATTCTGAAAGCTGAACTCCACATATCTTAAAGTTGCTGAGGTTGAGAAACACTGATTTACAGAGACAGAACCTGTAGTTCCGGGGGGGTGGGGGATGGCCCACTAAAATATTGTATGGTTCCTAGACCCCTTCCAAAAGTTGCTTTGCTAAATTATAACTTTTTCAGAGGATGGTTGGGGAACTGTATAAAAAGTGAAATAACGTGATTTAACTGTTAAAACTAAACATATTTATTTTTTGTCTTGGCCAACTCTGTTGAAGTCTTTGGCTTGAAAAATAAGTAGCGTATCCTGCTCTGTCATTCAAATTTAATCCAAACTGACTCTGATATTAATACAGTGCAGTGCAGAATGCAAATGCATCACAGCAATTTCCTGTTTTTCCATATTTAAGTTTTACAGATGTCTTAAGTATTGCTTTATATAACAAACATTGCTTGGTTTTATCCTATTTTTCATGCTCACTTTTAAGGAAAAGAGACTATAGGACAACCTGTACTTGATAAAAAAAAAATGCTTTCTACTTTCCTGAAAAAAATGTTCTGGTTATCAACAATGTTCAATTTTGATGAGAACCTAGACAAATACACATTTGAAGCTTGGATGAGGCATGATTGGACCCAAAAACAGCCAGCTGGGTTGAGGCCATTAAAAGCAAATCCTGGCACATTTATGGCAGGGGACATCCTGTTGGCTTTCAAATTAGTAAATTGATGTGAAATTATAAGTAATTAGCTCCAGCATTTTAGCAGACCCAATGAAAATTATTAAAAAACATCTAACAGCTGCTGGCTAATCAAGAGAAATAGTCCAGCAACTGTGAAACATTTTAAATGCTCCTAATAAAAATGTTAGCATTTTGTGAAGGGTAGATAGTTGGGCTGTGGGCATAGTAGGAAGAAATATGAAATTCTGGTAAATAGCATATGGGATATTTAAAGGCAAACCAAAACTCAGGTTGGTCGTCCATAATCAAACAATATTATGTACACTTCTTGTTTGGAAAGAGGAATATTGATTGCTCCTCCATTATTTGTGTGATGTTTTGGCACAAACGCAAAAAAACATGGATATTTGTAAACTGAAGATCTTAAACTATATTTTTTCCTTAGGACAGTTTGTTTCAATCATCTACAACAGGGATAGAGAACATTCTGCTAACATCGTGTATAAAGGGTACTAATATCCTTTTGAGGACTTTTGACTAGGTCCCCAAAATGTAAACATTTCATAGGATTGCAGAAACACAAAGAATCAATTTTAACCATTAAATGCCCCTAAATAAATTAGGCATATTTGGGTTGCTAACTCTGCCTACTTGTGACTGTATGCTATTTCATGCTATGAAAAGCTTAATGTAGGCTTACTGCTACCAGTGGTTGCTGATTTCTGACCTATACAGTCCATCTCAAAAGAGAATCTTGAAGATAATGCTAATTACAACCCATGTTATAAACGCTCCTTTGGCCTTGTCGTGAATTATCCAGAGAATTCAGATCCATCTCCAGTTCTTCCTCAGCAAATCTACTTTTTCAAAAGACTCAAGAAGAATGCAATATGTACAGTATGATTATGGATTCATACAGAGCTTTTAATTACATTTCCCATCTGAATCCAAGTAAATTTTATGTATACAAACTTACTGTGTACATTGCAATATATAAGCATAGTTTTATGCCTTTCACTGTCTACTCTTCCCCATCTGAATTATTGAAGTGCATATGTGAAATGCAAAGAAAGAAAGGTAAATAGAAAATAGATGAATTCTTATGTAAGATCACATCAAAGCTTTTCTGTATTTTCCTGTGATCTCCAGTGATTAAAAGCCCACCCCACGCCCAATAAGGAAAACTTTAGTAGCATATCTGCAAAATCAGCATAAAGGCATTTGCTCCATATGTTTCGCATTGTTTGTGATATGTGTGAAGGACTGGGTGCTATCCATATAGGCTGCACAGTCTAGTAGAAATTAGATTGAGGTATAAAGGGTATGCAGCAGTGTGAAATCCAAATTTTTTTACTACCGGTTCTGTGGGCATGGCTTGGTGGGCATGGTGTGGCTTGATGGGTGTGGCAGGGGAAGGATACTGCAAAATCCCCATTCCCTCCCCACTCTGGGGCCAGCCAGAGGTGGTATTTGCAGGTTCTCCGAACTGCTCAAAATTTCTGCTACCGGTTCTCCAGAACCTGTCAGAACCTGCTGGATTTCACCCCTGGTATGCAGAATATTGAAAAGAATGTTTTATTTCACTGGAGCTTTGATTAAAGTATCTCTTCAAAGGAAGTTGTGAAGAAAAGTAGTAACTTCCTTCTAATCATTGGAGCACAGCATATAAAAACTGGGAGGGTCAACTGAGATAGATCAGTAATTTGTAATTTATGACAGAATTCTGTAAATAGGGTATGGGAGACACACCAGTGTTGAACTCCTCAAGTGTTTTGATATTCTCTATATATTTTGTGAGCAGAGAGAATGGGTGAATTGATTCTTCAAATTTCTCCAGGAAGATGTGTGTGTGTGTGTGTGTGTGTGTGTGTGTGTGTGTGTGTGTGTGTTTGTGTGTGTGTGTATCAAGTTGTAAAGGACTGGATACCCATTTAATTTTGACAATAGCATTTTTGAGTTTTCTTGGGATTGAACCAGAGACTAAAAGCCAGAGAGGTTATAGATTGCTGGAGAGATGATTGTACAATGAAGTACAAAAGCACACATACCTTTAAGCCATCTTGTAAGCAAGAATATCATCTTCAACCCATGACAATCATTCTGAAGTTCTTTTCTCCTTTCACCTTAAAAATTGAAAGAGAGGGAGGGAGAGAGGGATGGAGAGAATAGAGAATAGATGATAATAGATAATAGATGCTAATAGATTGATAGATAATAGATAACAGACTGACTGACTGACTTCTCCTTTGAAATAAATTTCAAGAAAAGGAGCTTTTCTTTCATCAAATTGAGGGCCGGTAGGGAAAAAAATGCAGTTGCAGAAGAAATGTATGTGTGTATAGCAGAATGGTAGGGTAATATGCTCTGACAGCTAACTGATTTTTTATGACAGATGATGAAATCATTAGTGATGTGTTATGCAAATTCTGTGGTCCATTCTGGCTTCAGCAGTTAGTGAAGCTGATCACTCATCCTCTTCTGCTTTCATTGGATCTTTGGTGCTCTTTCTGTCCTAAAGTATAGGGCACTGTTATTACTATTAATTACCATGGCATTAATATCAATGGGCTCTCATGCTCCTGGCATATGTACCATATATCCATAGTCAGTCTTAAATGCAGACGTGCGAGGCAGTAATGAGCATTTTTCATTACACCCATGTATCATTGCTGCTACATGAACCAGATTGTCTAACAGTTGGCTTCCTGGTGCAATTCTAGATGCTGGTTTTTATCTTTATGATGTAGGATCCGGTTAGCTGAAGGACCGGCTTTCTCTTATCATTTTAAACCTAACCTGATAGGTTTAGGCAGAGTAGGTGCGCTCCAGGTTGCCTCAACGTTATCAGCCTCTGCCTTCTGGAACAATGCTCTATTCTCCCCCACCCTCAAACTCCTATTATGTATGGTCCTAACTCTTTTAGGGTTCTAGAATGCCCTTAAGATTCTGGCTCTGTTCTCAGACCTTGGATTAGTATGTTAGTTTCATGGGGTTTGTTTTGTTTTGCTTGAATTGTTTGTTTTTGTCTAGGTGGTGGTTCTAAGTGGTTTTATTTTCAGTTATTTTTAATTGTGTATTATTTGCACATGTATGTATAAATGAGTAGCTGAATAGCATAGTGGTTGGAGGCTAAGATCAAGACAACAGAGAAAAGTTAAGTCAACTGGTAGAATGACAGAAGGCTATGGAAAGAAAGGATAAGATTCAGGTACTGAAAAAAATACAAAGGTCTGACTCCATCTGAAGCAAGAGTGTCTAACCTTGGTAACTTTAAGAGTTGTGGACTTCAACTCCCAGAATTCCACAACTAGTATGCCTAGCTGGGAAATTCTAGGAGTTGAAGTCCACATGTCTTAAAGTTGCCAAAGTTGGATACCCCTGCCCTAGAGACTGCTAAACAAAGACTGGCAGTACTGGCTACCAAGCTAAGGAGATTTACTAGAGAAGCAAAGGGCAAGAAACTAAATACTCTTTTCTTCAAAGAACCATTTCAATTTTATTGAAAGTTTTAAAAACAAAGCTAAAAACTAATAAATATTAATATAGAGTGAGGAAGAAAAAAAAGAGAAATCAGAGATATAGGTAAAAAAGAAAAAAGATATAGGCAAGAAAGAAAAAAAAACATAACAGTAGAAATGAAAGAAAAAAAGACATAAAGAAGTGGCTTCCAATATTCTTTATAACAGTTATAGGTATAATTAAAAATTTACTTCTTTTTCTAGAATTACATAATGACTCCCTTCTTCATATAATCTATCCTCTAATTCAGAGATCCCTAACCCCTGGGCTGCAGCCCATTACTGGGCCATAGCCTATTTGCAACTGGGCTGTGTGAGAGTGGGCTGGCACATACACGCATGCACACAGCTTGACTCACACAAGTGGTGGACTGGTGCACACATGCATGCACACATCTTGACTGGCCTAGCTGCATATGCATGCACATGCTCGCCAGTCTGCTGCTCTTGTGAGTTCATCTGCATGCACGTGTTTGCACACCAACCCACCACTCATGCAGCCTAGTTCCCATCTCCCTCCCAACCGGGCCACCAAGCTATAAAGGTTGGGGGGCACTGCTCTAATCATCAAAACCATAATTGTAAGTTTATTTTTTAAGTTTTATACAAAAAATGCATAAGGGGTTTCCAGTCAGCAATAAACATAGATATTGTCTTTTCTCCAATTAAATCAAATTATTTTTAGTTGTATATTGAAAGTTATAAGCTGCACAGAGTCCTTTGGAATAGGATGACTATAACAAAATTTATTATTATTATTATTTACTTTATTCACTAAACATGAAACTCAGTCAACTGAACATTCAAAAATGCATCACAAATACCATTGACTGGTGCTAGTGGTTGATACGGGTTGCTGCCAGCATCCTAGGTATCAACCAAGTACCTTCTTAAGATGTACGATGTTCCAAGTAGCACAGTTTTTTGCAGCTCCGCTGGTGTTATTGCAGGAAGCTGCAATTTGTTTATGTATCTTATAAAATTCTTGGACATGGTACCAAGTGCCCTGATGACAATGGGTATCACTGTTACATGTTTCATCCATAGCCATGTAGTTTCGATGGCCAGGTCGTTGTTTACTATTATTATTATTATTATTATTATTATTATTATTATTATTATTATTATTATTATTATTATTCAACAATAGTAACCACTATTCATATGTGTGGTATGCATATAAATATATATATATTTTCTAAACTATATGTATATATAAATATGCTTATCATATTTTGTTCAATATGGCCATTTTAGTGTAATTCTTTCTCATTTTTGCCCATTTTTAATAATATATAACAACTGTCAGAGAGGTTTGAAAGCTAGAAGAATAACAGGGCATCAGTTTGTATAAAGGTACTAAAATGCAGACTAGGCAGGTTCACATGCATTGTTCTTGCTATATATTATACTTTTTATATATAACATATTTTCTCCTATTTGCAGATCCATTTCTCAATGAAGTCATAAATGTATAGAATGGATAATTGGGCACAAACATTCCCCTAGGAGCTTTGTTCTCATAACTTGCTTAATTCAATCTGAAATCACATTATTACTCTGTGCATGACAGCAGCCGCTGTATATTCTCACCAAATCCCACTTGCGGAGTGCCAATCAAAAGGTGCTCATGCTGTGATTGTATGTACTCTACTTCTGTCTAATTAAATGGGTAACTCAGGAGAAACTTGTTCCTGCAAAATGAGAGCCCAACTTTTTTCATCTTCAACAGACACTTCGTTTCATTTCAGAGCAAGTATTCTGATGAGCATTCAGAGCATTAAACTACCAATGTACAAATGACTTCTTCCATTGGCTTCTTTTGTTCTTTAGTATTTCTCCTTTCTGATTCAGTGCTTTTGCCTTATAGCTTTCACAATGTCATTAAATTGCCTAAAGATAAAGCTGGAGCATGCATATGTATGATGTATCTAAGTGGACTTCCTTGATCTCTGATTACGAAAACCAAACATGGATCTATAATTCAGCTGACTTAAAGCAAACTGTTCTTAAAGCTGAATTAGGCTTTCAGCTTTGTAAGGGTTCCAAGCTACAATCTGATCGTTTCCACACACAGTAGGATCCTAATGATTTGTGTATGAGAATGAAGTATAAAGTTAAAACCTGTTAATAGGAAAGAAAGAAAGGACCCATAAGTGAAACTTCTCAAGGATTTTACCTATTATCAAGGCTTCTTTTTCCTCTAAAGCCCAAGGTAGGATTTTGCAGCCATGCCTACTATCCGTTGATAATCCTATCTTCCACATATTTGTCCAACCGTTTTTGAAGCCAGGTGTCTGTAACTTCACGTTTTATAATAGTGAGTTTCATTATCAACTATACATAGATCCCCCCCCCCTTTTTTTTGTCTGTCCTAAATCTCCATCTTTCAATTACATTGAAGAATCTTTGTTTGAATCCTTAGCTACGGAGTACTGTATGCTAAATTGGTCAATATGCTAATTTCCCCCTAATTCTATGGATTGATTTAAGTGTTACTAAAATAGTATGAAAACTCCAATAATTTTCCTACATAATTATTCACTGATGTAGTTTTGACTATTGCATATCATGCAACTGAAAGGTATTTTTAACTGTCACATCATTTTCAACAAAAGGTATATTCTTTACTGTTATTGCACTGCATCTCACTCTGGACAGTAAAAGGATTAATGATGATGAATGGATGGATGGATGGATGGATGGATGGACAGACAGTCAGATGGTGGATATGTAGGAGAGAGAGAGAGAGGGAGAGAGAGAAAGATTTAGACCAATAAGAGATATCCTATGTCAAAATTAATGATAGTGCCTTCTTTCTTGTGTCTTCAGTTCTTCTTCTCTATCTGTGCCAACATAACACTATTCTCCCTGAAAAATCTATTCCTGTGCCAAATCCTCCTTGGTCATCTTGAATTCCCATTTACTGGTACATGACTTTTGCGTACATGGTTTCATATTTCCTTGACCTTGTTACTTTATATACATATATGAGGTCTTTGTGGGAACATTAGTTTATTTTTCATTCAGCTTGTTACCTCCTAGGAAGGGATAACACATAAAGTAAATAAACCACTAAAAGTAAATGAATGCCCAAAATAAATAAAAATGCATTTTTAGGTAGTCAGAGTGCTGACATAATCTATTCTGGAAGTGAAGACTTGTAAATGAGAAAGACTATATTTAACCTCATCTGAAAGAAGGAATCTGAACCATATTCAAAAGTTGATGGTGTTATAGAAACTGCAGGATTGGCTTTTGCCCAAAATTTAGTTAAATTTAGTTAATACAGCAAGGTTCTGCTTTCATAGGTAGTATATTAATATGCTATCCATATTATTTAAAACATTTAGATCTCACTTATTCATACGTACCTGAAAGAAGTTGAAGCCTAAGCAACTATCTTATTAGAATAAAAGATGTTAGTCTAAAAAGATAAAAAATTAAAAAAAATTTTAAAAAATGTGTTGGAGGAAGCAATCATTGCAGAGCTTGATAAGGATGGAATAGGAAAATTCCAGCCTGTCCCACCTCCTCCATTGGGCTTATATGCATTAGATTTAAAGATAAATGCCATTAAGGCTGTTCCATCCTATTGCAAAAATCTGATAGTAAACGGCAGAAAAATTAGTAAGGGCATCCAATCCAATCCAACTCTACTAACAAAAGTAACAATGATATTAAACTCCAACAGTGTGAACTAAGCAGCTTCAAATATGAATGAAATATCTTTCAAGTAAAGCAGGATTCAGAAGGTATAATGCCTTTACCAGTGAATAGCTAATGCATTTTCATTTTATTATTTTTTAGAGTTCCAAGTTCAAGCTTTTTATAGAAAGGGACTATCTTAAACAATAAATAATAATTTCACCATCTGGAACTATTCAGTTAATCTCTAGATGGTGGAAACTATATCCAATTAAAATTGTACTCTGATCAAAATAGATTGAAGTTTTATTTATTTGAAGCAAATGTCCTATTACAGCATCTTAGAAGTTTTCTCACAGGCTTCTGCTATGGTTTTTTTACTATTATTATTCCGAGACTACACATATGTTGAATGTTGAATGTAATGTGCATGTGGCAGAAGGATACAAAACCCACCCGAGTCACATATCATGCAGATATTTCTTTGAAATGCAAATCAGGGTTGATGTTTTAATTAATACTGCAAAGGTAGGGACAGTAAAGCAAAAATGAAAATGAAGAGAAACACTGACCATAAAATCACACATAGGAAAGGGTTTTGCTTTTTGCTGAATCATGTATTATTTCATGGATCTGTCTTTTTCATTTCCTTAGTTTTGGCATGGTTTTGGGTTGGTTCTTGATACTAACTTTGTATAATACTCAATGTCCTTTCCTGTTTCATCACCTTTTCCTACCAACTCTTCCTTGGCTGAGTTTCTTTTTTTCATTTATTTCACTTTCAACTTCCCTAGCTCATTCTACTATTTACTGATACAATGTCAGCTTTGCTAATTATGAATTATAGTGATGAAGGACCAACACTTGCCCTCTCTCAAATGTGTACACATTCTATAGTTTACAGAGGAATGATCCATTCTATTGATAGCTTTCTCAATGACAGATTCAAAATTCTTCATTTTCCTGAGGTGACAGCTATTTATGAGCTCAAATTTCTTGACATACAGTATGTTAATTTGTTGAGTGCCAAATAGTAAAACAAACAGAGAATGAAATTTAAAATGTTCTAAATGGTATGCATTCTGAATTGTCACTAGCTAAATAGCGGAACTTAATTTTTGCTTGATTCTGTTTACATTTATTCTGCTGAGGTCAATTAAAAAGTTATATATTTATTAAGGAATTATTCTAGTTACCTTAATTTTTAAATATGTTCATACAATCACTATCATCTAGTGAACTTTATGCATTTCAAAATTTAGGCTTGTTCAGTGGTGGGTTCCAAAATTTTTTACTACTGGTTCTGTGGGTGGGGCTTGGTGGGTGTGGCATGGCTTGGTGGGCATGACTTGGTGAGTGTGGCAGGGGAAGGATACTGTAAAATTCCATTCCCACCCCAATCCAGGGGAATTTTACTGCAAAGTCCCCATTTCCTCACAATCAGCTGGGACTTGGGAGGCAGAGAATAGATGGGGGTGGGGCCAGTCAGAATTTTTACTACCGGTTCTCCGAACTAGTCAAAATTTCCATTACCAGTTCTCCAGAATTGGTCAAAACCTGCTGAAACCCAACCCTGAGCTTGTTCCTCTAAAAATATTATAATGCACAGACTAGAGGTTACAAACAATAAAGCAATGACCAGTCTATTTCAGTTAGTATGATTTGGTTTCTCCATTTACTGTATATAAGCAGCAAGAAACACATCACTTCATCTTGCCAAATAGTTGATATTAACACAGAGATGCAGACACTGGGACATAAACACATATACACAGAAAGACACACACAAACTTTAATAATTATCTTTCGGGGTAAAAACTTCCATTATTTAAGGTCCAACTCCCCAAACATGTGAAAAATAAATCCTAAAACTATACCATACTGAATCTGGTAAATAAATGTGTATATTTCTGTTTTTATTAACAAGTCCTGAATATACTATTAACAGATCGTGAATATATGGTTTGGAAATTTGAAGAAGATTTATATGGCTAAGTTTAAATAAAAAGTGGAACTGGATTCAGTAAGAAGTTGAAAGCATTCTTCATTGATTTCTATGGCTTTCTGCCTACCTAAAATGTCTTTTGCCACTGGAAAAGTGTACCCCACCATTACTGGAAAGAGCCATCAAATGTTGTCCATTATGAAGGGACTGGGAGAGTGGCAAATCTTTAGGCAAGCCTATCTACCTTCCAAGGGTAAAAGATGTGGGCTGAAAAGAAGTCATCCTGCTGATAGAGGATGAGCTGGAAATTGTAGTTTTGAAAATGAGATGGGACCCCACTCAAAATTATATTGTTTGGATGTCCTGATCTGAACACAGTGGAAAGTGGAGCTGATGAAGGAATTGGCTCCATAAATTGCACTCTGGAGAAGGAGAAGACTTAGAGGGTTCCTTACAGATGCTCCCCATGATGATACCATAATACCTGTCTCCAACAGGCTTTATGCTCTGGGAGTTGGTGGGTTTCAAAAATTTTTACCTTCGGTTCTGTGAGTGTGGCTTGGTGGGCGTGGCATAGTTTGGTGGGTGTGGCAGGGGAAGGATACTGTAAAATCTCTATTCCTCCCTAATCCAGGGGAAGCTTACTGCAAAATCCCCATTTCCTCCCAATCAGCTGGGATTTGGGAGGCAGAGAATAGATGGGGCGGGGCCAGTCAGAATTTTTACTACCGGTTCTCCAAACTACTCAAAATTTCTGCTACCGGTTCTCCAGAATGGGTCAGTACCTGCTGAAACCCACCTCTGGGTAGAAACAGATTTGTCCAAGCTGTGGTTTTTAATGAAAATGACTTATAAATTGCTTTTTGGACTAAAACTTACAGAAGGGCAAGTTCTATTACACCTTGTGATTTTCCTCAAACTAGCAGTGAAAGAAGATTTATATATGTTTAAAACTTAAAAGAAAACCTTTTTATTTGGAAATAAGCAGTGAAAAGCTATTAGAAGATTCATTTTTTTTGGGGGGGGGAAATAAATGGACTAAGGGGAAGTTTGGGAAGCAAGACTTTGAAAACCTTATAACAATGTTTCTTTGTTTAAAATCCTTTTAAAATAATTGAAGATCTGAGTTTACATTAAATGTAAGATTTTTTCCCCCCCGAAATGTTCTGGGTGAGAGAAAAACATGATAAGAAGAGACTTTCAGGGTTAC